CATGCTTTTGTGTGGCTGGATATATGCCTGGATATAATCCTTTTATGTCAACAAACCAGATATTAACTCTAAGATAAGTTGTTGTTTCAAAACATAATCCGATATCAACGTGTTATTTGCATTTAATTTACTCTTCATTTCAATCAACGATACACTCATTAATTGTGAACAATTGATAAAAGTATATTTAATTTTGTGCCAAAATAATTGTGATTTTGTGCAAAACTTTTGTGACATTCATTGAAATCACTAATAAATCTCACGATTAAATCAACGCTGAGTTGAAATTGATTACAGGTATTTAAAAATTTTATTACAATTATTAAAATCACATTTAAATTGTTTTATTGATGAATGAATTAATTGATGTGTTGTTTTGTATTGACATTTAGGCCAAAACCAGCGTCAAATCCAAATCAATTATATTAAAAGTTCGCCAAGCGTTAACATTTGGCAACAAAGATGTAAAACATTATAGTTTAATTAAATTAGAGAATTCATTAGAGAAAAATCCAGGTATATTGTTTTACAAAAATGATTTAAAGAGCCCTTCAATTCAAGATTATGCACCAATGACTACTGTTGACGTTGAGAGATCATTTTCGCATTTTACAGATATGTATGCATTTAATAGAAGAAGTTTTACTGCAGAAAATATCGAAAGATATTTGGTTGTAAAATATAATCAAATTTTTTAACATTGAATTAGTTATTTATACAGATTACATGATTTTACATGAATTGCTATTGATTGTTTTATTAGTTGAAAAATAATTATTATTTTTGTATTCAATCGCTTTACATAATACTGTATTATCTATATTTAAAATACTTAATTTTGCCTATTATTTCACACACTTTTTATTGAATTTAATTTACTTTTATTTTAAACAAAAAATTTTCATTTTAAATTTATTTTGTTTTTATCAATTTGTATTAAAAGATCTTATATTTATAATTATAAATATTGCTTACAATGAAATTAAATTGTTTTTATTTGATTTATTTACATTTATTACTTTTATTTAATTTTTTTGTTTTAAAACAACTTAACTTATGATTTGTTTACCGTGACAAAACTATGCTATGTCACAGCCTTATTTATAAATACTTTTAAATAAATTTACATACAATATGTATTTGTATGTGAAAGTTTTGTTGAAAAGAATTAAAGTAATTAATTACAATAAATATTGCTCTTTATTATAATCTTTAAAAATTATAATTAAGTTAAATACTAAAAAATGAGATATTAAAAACTTATTTCAAAAAAACTTGTTTAAAAAATTGATTTTCATAAAAAATTTTTTATTTTCAACAAGACTCAGACCATCACTGAAGAAATCCACTTCTTTACCATTCATTGCAAATGTATTTATAAAAATTTTAATTAAAAGTTATATTTATTTATAGTTATATTTATTAAAAGTTATAGTTATATCAAGTGTACAATCAACGCTCTGAGTAATCAAAGTTCAATTACTATTTATGAATATGAATTTATAATTTTGATGAGTCTATATATCATCATGAATTTAGTTCCTAAAATTCTCTCAGAACACTTTCTCAGAACACAAACTCAACGATGTAATATTGTCATGTGTAATAATTTTTTAAAAATTAATGTGGAAATTGCATTATTAAAATATTATATAAATATAACTTAGGTTTGTCAGTATTAAACGAGAAACACCACGTGAAGGTCAACCTAATAGTTTCTCACCCATTTTTAATAGTGGTTGGTTTTCAGTCTATCCACATTAATCACCACTCATTTTTTAAAGAAAAATAGAGGCCTAAAACTATCACACTTTAGTATCTTGAATGCGATGGATGGTATCTTAGTTTTGCAATTAATGAGTCGAAATTTGGAAATAATTGATAAGCAGCCCAAATTCTTAAACAAGATTTTAGAGTCTCATTAGTTAATCGATTTGTTCGTTTAGATTTGCGGGCTTTCATTAGTGAAAAGAATTGTTCGCAATTATATGTTGAGCCATAATACAAAAGTATATTATATGCATTTTGCTTTAATTCGTTATAATATGATGAATCGAGTTTGGAGTAAAATTTATTAATTGATTCTGAATTCTGAAATAGAATCTTAAGAGATTGATCCGTTTTTAAACGAGACACTTTTGTGGCGAACTTTGATGGAATGTTAATAGCACTAAAAGGGTCGGCAAATAAATCAAATAAATCTTTATTTGATTTGAAGTCTAGAAATCGCAATTCAAATTGTGAAATCAATTCATCGATCAACTGAATAATGTTATGAGTTTTGAAGTCAATGATGTTGTCGCTGATCACTTGTTGAATGCGAGGAAAATTTGTGAAATCGAGTTCAGTGTAGGAATTAAATGGTGAGTCACAAGGCAAATGCGATCGAATTGTTGTTAATAACGATAACAATTTTTCAATCACTGTGTATTGTTCAGTTATTGATTTATTTTTCCCCATTAATTGCAATTTATTATTATTTAACATGACTGTAATGTCTGTCAAAAACGCCAATTCGAAATAGAATTGTTTGTCATTTGCAATTAATTGGCCATTTGTGTCACGAATTGTTTTTTGTAACTCGTCGTCGATAAAAATAGTGATTTGATGAAACAGTTCGAAGAATCGAGCCAAACATTGTCCCCGACTGAGCCACCGAACATAGTCGCTGCTCCACTATTACAACCGACCATACTTGGGGCGCCATCTGTTGTAATCGACGCCAAATTGTTGATATCCAAATTGTTTGTTTCAATGCTTTCTTTAATCTTTGCAAAAACGGCGTCTCCAGTTGTGTTCGTTTCTAATGAAATTAAATCTAACATTTCATCTGAAACTTCATAATCAGATTCAACTCCTTTAATATAAATAGCCAATTGTGCTTTATTTGTGCAATCGGTACTCTCATCAAACGCCAATGAGTATTTCTCAAAAACTTTAGACTCTAGTTGTTCAGTCATGTCATTTGCGATCTCATTCACACGATTTGCAACACTTTGGGGTGAAATAGGCAATTCTTTCACGACTTGTGCCTAATCGTTAGGCAACAGGTGATTCGCAACAGAAAATAAGCATTTCTTAACCAATTCGCTTACTTCAAAAGGGTATGAAGAATTGGCGATATTGTGTGCGATTTCATAAACGACACGAAGTTTTGCATCGTTTGAAATCTCTTCAGTTTGTGACGATTGTGATGACATTTCAATTGTAGACTCTTGTGAAGATATTGGGGCTGCACTTGTGGACGGTTGTGACGACAACTCCATGGCACTAATATCACAGTCTGGATCTGGTTCTGAATCGTGTTTTTCATACTCAAGACGCTTTTTAGCATCAAGTTTTGTGTTCATCACTTCTGGACTCAATTGATTGTGATATTTGTCGTGATGCTCTTCAAAAACTCTAGTTTTGAATGGTTTTTTTTGGTGTGAATTTACACAAACCGCAATACCATTCGTCTTTAGTCTTGTGTTTGAAAAAATAGAGATCGTTTTCCCAATCGCGATTACGCTTACGCCCTTTTGGAGGCATTTTGTTTGCTTTTAAACACTACAAATTTAGTAATTTGTCAGTATTTACCACATTTGATAGAGTAATTGATATACAGTAGTAGTCATAATGTTATGCGATTTAACTTAAATTTGTTATTAGATTTTAATGAGTTTTCTTAAAATTGAATATGTAGTTAACTATCATTTTTGAAAAAGCTTTAATTTAGTTGTTTAAGTATACATTATTAATTTTAGTCCCTATTACTGTATAGTAATTATTTTATAAAATTTATATGTGTTGACAATTTTATTGACATTTCATCATGATCAATTTAGTTTAAAAATGTAAAATCACATCATATTTATTTAATGAAAAATGTTATTGTTAGTTTTTATAAAATTACTATTTAAACCTGGTAAAAATACAAGGAGCCTTTTATATAATTTATAAATAGTTTAAAATATAATGATTTAAAATAAATTAAATGTAAACTTTCCTGTGACAAGAATTGGATTTATAAATTACACTAAATATTTCTTGTTATTTTAATAGTTTAAAATTTATAAATACTTAAAAATTAAAGTTTTAAAATTTTATTTAAAAGGTTGTTTGAAAAAAATAATTTTTATTAAAAAATTATTTTAAAATATATAAAAATTAATTCAATTAGAATTTTTAAAAATTAATGAACTATAATAAATAGCAAACACAATATGGTTATGTAACAAAAACCAGTAGCGCAATCATCTGGGTTAAATTTAAACAATTAGTTACATATATGGTATAAAATAAATTAATTTCTGGTAACTGACACTACCATAAATCACCTCGATAGCAATACAATAGTTATTATAATTATAAATTCACCAAGAGCCTAATACCGTAAATCACTGGCAGTGGCCAATACAGTATCAATAGTCCCAACACCACATCCATAGCCATACTTGCATTACGGCGTAAGGCTGTCGTATCGCCCGTACGTTTTGTACGCATGCGTATTATTTCTGCCGAGACTTTTTTGCGATCATAGGCCCAACCAATTTTTGCAAACATATCGATGAGCAAGGTGGTCGGGTTGAAATTTTGTTCCCACCCGTACTCGGACCCGGAGTAATCTTGAGGAAATGCGTGATGATAGTTATGGTAACCGCCGCCTGTACATGGTCATAAATAAAATTGTATGTTAATTTAGTTTTAACAATGATTTGATAATTGTTCAAATTATTACAAATGACCAAAAATTATAGCGTTAGATTTAAATAAATCATATCATAATTTTATTTCTCTGACCTCCCTTTTATAATTAAAATACAAAAACATAACAGGCATATTTAATTCCACAAGAAACTTTTACAGTATGTAATTCATTATAATATAACTTGTTTTTTGAACTAGGTTCATTGTTTGTAATTACTCGCTAAAGTGACCGACAATTGACTTTATTTCCTGTGCTTTTAATAAAATTAATTAAATATTCTATTTTAAACAATAATTAAATTCCTGATTAATTAAAATAAAATAATTCATCTATACTCAATAAATAATTTTAATTAAAACTAACCCATAGCCAGGTAAACGAGCACGGTGTTATCAGTGGGCTGGATACTTTTATCATAAGGCCTGTAACCAAACATATGGGCCACGGAATTGACCAACCAGGTATAATGCAATAGTATCACATAAAACAGCACGTTCATCGCCACCAAATACGTCCAACTCTCGTGCGGAAACAGTAACCGGGGAATGGCCGTGAACATGGTGCCGCGTACCAAAACCACCCAGAACGTATAAAACATGCGCTGGTATTTTACAATAGGGTCGTCCAGTAGGTCCTTGGTGTCTATGGTGGGCACTTTGGCCAGGTAGGTGGGGTGGCGTTTGAAAAATAGCCACCCAATGTGGGCCCATAAAAAGCCCCTGCTAATGTTGGTGGGATCGCCGTCGGTGTCCGAGAACTTGTGGTGCAACCGGTGTTTTAGTGACCACTCGTATATATCCTCCTGAATGGTAGCCGTCTGTAGAGCGCCCAGTATTAGCCGTAGCGGCCATTTGGCTTTGTATGCCCGGTGCGACCATAGCCTGTGTGCTCCTAGGTGAATTAAATGTGAATATTGTTTTATTAATTGTTGTGTATACTAGTGTTTAAATTTATTGTATTGAAAAATTACGTGAATAGACTGTAATAGTTACAAATTGTATTTATTATATTTATTAGCATCATTATATTTTTATTAGATGGTTGGGAACCTTTAGTGAGATGTTGGTTAAGTAAAAATTTTTTAATTAATAAACTTAATTAATCAAGTATAATTGCTGCCAACAAAAACCGACTATAACGTAAATATAATTTGAGTAAAGTAAATTATTTATATTTACGTTTTAGTTGGCTTATTCAATAAAATGAATATTAAATAATTATTATCAGAGGTAATGCAAATATTTTATTATACAGTCTATGTTATAGTTATATTATTCTAAAAATATATATTATTATTTTAAGTTATATTTTAAAGTAAAGTTGTACTTTATAATTATTATGTATAAACAAGTTAATCCTACCGGCAATTATGCCAAACATGCATAATATATTGGCGCTTACATAATAAACATTTAGACCAAGCTCACTCCAGCCACCAATGCCCTTGGTGAAATGTAAATACAGCGCATAGACCGCTATTGAATGAATGGTGGGCAGAAAAAATACATAAAACCATGCTATTTCAAATTGATGAGGTACAATTTTTGCCGGTTTTACATATTTAACACGTTCGGGTTTAGTAATTATCACGTTGTTATTATTCTGGTTCTTGTTATTTAATAAAATGTTCTCGGTCTGTGTTCTTGAGATGATCATTGTTGGTGGTTTGGCTGTAATAATAATTAATACAACGTGTTAATTTTTACAAAGCGTTTAATTAATTGATAAGTAGTTAATCATTATATGTTTTAAAACTTTTATACTTGTAAAAATTGGTATAAATGATTATTTAAAAAAAATTAACTTGATAATTGGTTATAATTTTTAAAAACTCCTAATGATAAATCACAGACTAATCACCAATTACATGAATTTAACTTTATCTAGTTTATATTTTTAATTTTATAAAGTACTAATTACAGTCTAAAAAATTGTAATTCATAATTTAATGTATTTAGGCGGCCAATATGTTTCTTCCAATGTAAATTTGCAATATCTCCCAAACGGGATGAGCTAGCTCAAATCTGTAAACGGTAAAATGATGTCTCATATATCAAATATTTTATCTGAAAAATTTATTCAAATCACGTGACTAGAACATAGAAATTTCTGGGTCATTTCGAAATGCCATATTT